AGGAAGGAGGGAGGGAAGGAAGGAGTGGGAGGGAGAAAGGAGTGGGAGAAAGGGAGAAGAACTGGGAAAGGGAGAAAAAGAGAAAGGGGAAGGGAAAGAGGAAGAGGAAGAGAGAGAGAGAGAGAGAGAGAGAGAGAGAGAGAGAGAGAGAGAAAGAGAAAGAGAAAGAGAAAGAGAAAGAGAAAGAGAAAGAGAAAGAGAAAGAGAAAGAGAAAGAGAAAGAGAAAGAGAAAGAGAAAGAGAAAGAGAAAGAGAAAGAAAGAGAAAGAGAAAGAGAGAAAGAGGTTGGACCAGTGAGTGGTAGAGCAGTGAGAACTGATGGAGACCTGAATAAAAATTAATTAATTAATTAATTAATTAATAAACCAGAAACGTAGGTTATCTGCTATTACTCCAGTGGACCTCTTGTAAGATATGAATGTCTTCAAAGGTCAGCACTCAGTCCTTTGGAATGTGAGTTATTTTTTTTCATCTCCAAATTCCTTGTTTTCTTCTACAAAAGCTCTGAGAATTTCCACTTTCCTCACAGAACTTGAAGATCAGTTTCTAGTTCAGTAGGTGCTGGGGATTGTGTATCCTCCAAGCAAGGTCAGGTGACAACTTCCTTTCCTAAAATTATGTTTTTCACATTTGTGAAGCACTCAGGTAGTAAACAAAATCTGCAAAGCCTACAGACACTCAGAGACAATAAACAAACAAACAAACAAACAAATTGGTAAATGTGGGTGAATTTAAGTGGAATTGTGTTGCAAAACTTAGAAGTCATGTTTTCAGAGAGTAGATTTTCAGAATTCATAAGAAAAAAACAGTTTGTTTTCCCTGGTGGCATTACACCTAATGAAGTATCAGCTAATTTCTGTTAATAAAGCTTGACCTAAGCAACCACAAATAGAAAGTGCCTAGTCGGTCAAAAAAAAGCGTGAATGTTGTTTCATCTGTGCATGACTGGACAGTCAGAAGGCAGTTGTGAGGAGGACCTCTCAGAAGGGTGTGAGCACTCCCTTCCCTTCCCTTCCCTTCCCTTCCCT